GTAAGCTCCAAGAGGGTAGGATCTTTCTTGTTCTCCACTATATGCCCAAGAAGAATAGGCACTCAATAAAGGTGCATTGGTTGAATGCATGAATGAATGAATGAATGAATGGTTTCTACCAGTTTGGAGAGAGATTTTTGAGCTTAAATATTCTTAGCTCAGAGAGCAGTCTTGCTCACTCAGAGCTATATCAGTTGCTGAATTCTCAGAAGAGGATTTCAGAGACCTTGGAACTTGCTTTATGAGACACCCAAGCATTTAGCTTTTCCTGACACCTGTGCTAGGGGAGCAGGTGGGAGGTTCTTGGGGCTTTCTAACTGTAAAGACTGTCCCAGCTCTTGACTCCAGAAAATGCATCAGGCTGAGCTTGAGAGAGAGGATGGATGGACTCTTTTTCCAGTAATAAACAGCTTCTTGGTATCAGTCTGAATCCTTACTTTCCCAAGCTGTGAGGCGATCCACCCAGGGAGTTTTGGGGAGGCTCAGCTCTCATTTGGCAGTGCTACTCAAGGGCAAGTCCTCATAGGGACCTCAGGGAAGGGAACCCTGGGCCACTGAGCTGCTGGGATCCAGGCCTGGAGCCAGGCTGGGGTGGCGGTGGGGCTCACATTTTGCATCTCTTCATGTTTACACTTTCTCTTTTAATGCAGCCCTCTTCTAATTTATTTATATTTCTCCATTATGAAACTAATACATACTTGATGCAGAAAACTTAGAAATCAAGAGAAAAGTGCAATGGAAAAGAAAACAACTCACCCAAAGTTAACCACTGTTAACAATTTCTTGTAAACATTTCCAAGTTTTTTCTTATACATGTTTACAAAACGTATCACATGCTGTATAAATTTTTGACCCACCTTTCCACTTAGCTTTATATTTTGATCATTTTCTTCTGTGAGCTCTTGCCTTACACATTTTTTACTTCATTGCTTTCTTTTCATAAAATCTTTTGGGTTAGAATATCAACATCTGCTTGGAGGAAAAATAAAGTAGGTATCTATTGCATAAAGTGAAAGTACTTTGAAATCCCACCCCTTGGGGGTAAGTACTGTGAAGATTAGTGCACATCCCTCAGCATTTTGTGTGTACACATATCAATATGTGTGTATTTGTATAAATGAATTCAAACTTAACTAAACATACCATTTTGCAGCTTGATTTTTCACTTAATCTATCTTTCTTTACCACTACACACTGAGTCACCTCAGTCATTTTAATGTCTACATAAATGTCTATGTTTTGAACCTACCTGCTTAGTTAACCACTCTCCTATTGAAGAATCCTTTTCTTCTTCAAAATTCCAAATAGTGCTCCAATGACTGTGTGTGTGTGCATGTGCACGAATGATTCCAGAGATATTTTTCTAGTAGCAGAGTATCAGGATCAAAAAGAATAAACAATTAAAATAGATATTGCCAAACCACCGTCTAAGACCATTGTTCCAATGCCCAGGGGTAATGCTTGCTCCTTCATCAAAACATCGGTGTTGCTAATCTTTTTAATCTTTGTTGGTAATGCTGGGCAAAAAAAAAAAAAGGTATTTTTTTTTTTATGTTTCATTACTAGTGAAACTGGGCGTCTTTTCATGTTTGTGGCCATCTGTGTTTCTTTTCTATCTTTTTTAAATCCTCACCCAAAGATATTTTTTCATTTATCTTTAGATGGAGTGGGGTAGGGGGGAAAGAGAGAGAAACAATGATGCAAGAGAGACACATCAATTGGTTGCCTCCTGCAGGACTGTGACCAGGGCTGGGGACCAAACCTCAACCAAGGTATGTACCTTGATCTGAACCGAACCCAAGACTCTTTGATTCTCGGGTTGATGCTCTAACTACTGAGCCAAGCTGGCCAGGGCCCATCTGTGTTTCTTAATTGCTTATTCATGTCTCACCCTAGTTTCTATTGAGTTCTTCATTTTCTTTTCCTATTGATTTGGAAGACTGCTTCATATATTAGTGAGGTTTGATACTTTGGATATTCTCTTCCAGTTAAAACATGGTTGTCAATGACTGCATACTTCACCTCAATAGTAATTCCTATTTTGGATATTTTACTTGTTTTCATTCCTCCCCTTATAATCAACACCATGATAAATATCTTTTGTGGACATACACTTTTTTTTTTACTTACTGATTTTTTTTCTTTTTAGAGGGAGGGAGGGAAAGGTGGGGAGAGAGAGATAGAGATAGAGATAGAGATAGAGATAGAGATAGAGATAGAGAGAGAGAGAGAGAGAGAGAGAGAGACATGGATTTGTTGTTCCACTTATTCCCAACTGAGCTATCCAGCCAGGGCTGACATACACTTTTTTTGGGAAAATTTTCCAGAAGTGGACTGTATTGGGTCAAAGGTATGCACGTTAAGGATCTTAATACATATGTACAAAATATCCCCTAGGAAGATGGTGACATTTCACACACTCTTGCCAATAGTACAAGTGCCATTTCTTCATGTCCTCAATAAGATTAAGTACATCATTTTTCAGCTTGGCCAATTTGACAGATGTACTTGTTTCCTAGGAATGCTGTAACAGATTAGCCCAAATTGAGCAGTTTAAAACAACAGAAACCTATTCTCTCAAATTCTGGAGGCTAGAACTCTAAAATCAAGCTTTCAGCGGGGCCACCCTCTCTCTGAAGTTTTTAGGGAAGAATTCTTCCTTGCCTCTCTCCTTGCCTCTGGTGGTTGATGGCAATCTTTGGCATTCCTTTGCAAGTGACAGCATAACTCCAATCTCTGTCCCTGTCTTCATATGGCCTTCTTCCCTGTGTGTCCTAACATGGTCTCCTTAAAAAGACACCAATTATTGGATTTAAGGTCCACCACAATCCAGTATGACTTTATTTTAATTTAAGTAATTATTAGGTCCTATTTCCAAATAAGGTCACCTTTAGTCCCGAGTAGACCTGAATTTGGGGGGACACTATTTAATCCCATACAATAGGTAAAACAAGGTTTTTATTATTTTAACCTCCAGCTCTTATCAAAAGGAAACACACACACACAGACTACCCTGGAAATGCTGATGCCAAATAATGGGATATCTTAACTGTAGACCAACTTACGAACACGCTTGCTTGCTGGTTGAGTCAGAATGTGCCCCACCTGAGGCAGGTGACTAAGCTCATTCTGACTCTGCTGCCCTGAGCAGTTACTGTGGAATAGAAGAATAACTCTGTGAGAATGTTCCCTGCTTTATTATTTTTTACCAGCATATTGCCATCAAATTGTTGGGAAAATTGTAATGTCAGTGACAATCTTCAACTCCGGGGTTATCTTCTATTTGATACTGAAATGATTTCTAAGTCTTAGAATATTCTCTACTTAGGTTCAGGTCTTGATTCAACCCCTAGGGCTATACAACCTTTGGCAGGCCTTGACTTAATTTTCATGAAGACATGCCTCAGGTAGGACAAATATAATTTCTAGGGGCTCTTCTTACTCAGTGCATGTTTCCTGTCCTAACTCTTCCCCCATCATTCCCCCTGAATGACGCCAGAGCACTGGGTGAAAGATGACAGGTGAGTCATCTTCCTAGGCCAGTTACAAAACAGAACTGTTTTATACCTGCTCTGTATTTACCAATGCTTTCCTCTGCTGCTCTCAATGTTGCATTTTCCAAGGTCCTTACAGACATCAGCTCTAATTAGCACAGCAACAATCTCCAAGTTACTCTGTTTCCATTTCTGCCTCCAATCTAATCAACCCAGAGCTGTCAAAATGATGTGTCTGTCTGTTTGTTTGTTTTTAAATAACACAGAGTTTGTTGTTCCCTTGCTTAAGAATTTTTCAGTAGCAACTCATTATAATTTTGTTAAAATCCAAATTGTTCATTGCAACTTGCCAGGTCCCAAATGATCTGGTCGTGTTTACTTCCCACCTTCAAAGCCCCTCAGCTACCTGGGCTTTTAGTTCCTCAAACACAGCAAGTGCTTTTCCACTTTGCACCTTCAAACCTGCTACTTCTGTTTTGCCTCCAACTTCCAACTTAAGTGACTCATCTTTATCACCAATGTGACTTCTTCAGAGGCTTCCATCAACTACCCTGTCACTCCTGGTTATTCTGCCTCCTGGCCGTCTGTGACATATACATACATATGATGGCCTTTAGTGTTCCTGTAGTTCAAACCTGTGTTGTTTACCACGTGCCCAGCACCTGGCTCAGTGCTTCATACAGTGGCCACGTACACACTTGTTGAATGATGACCAGAATTATGTTCCTTCAAAGCCTGTTCCTCATATTCCTATTGCTCTATAGCCTTCCAGCATAATCTTCTGGTTCTCTGGGTTCTTAGGCATAACCCCCCATTTCTCTGCCAACAGTCTGTGTGCCATTTACCATGTGCCACGGTCTGTAACTGTGTTACCTGCATTTACTAACTCCTTTAATCCTCACAAAAACCCACACACAGAAGGTACTTCTATTACCCCCCTTTTATAGACCAGGAAACTGAAGCTCAGCAAGATCAAATGCCTTGCTCTTGGTTCACACAGCAAGAAGTGGTGGAGTAAGGATTCAAACCCATGAGTACCGTGATAAACCAAACTCATTAGAGAGCAGAACTCTAGCAGGAGGCTTAGAGTTCTGGCTCAACTTAATCATCAGAAGATGGGCTATGGCCCAGATAAGCCCAGCAACTTACCCAAAGACACTCAGCAAGTTAAAGGCAGAATGGAGGCTAGACTCTGGGGCATGGGGTGGCCCAAGATGCTCAGGCCAGGTTTTTTTTTCCCTAGCTGAGGCCACATTGCTTCCCCATGGCCAAGCCAGTAAGCTCCCCTCTACATGATTTAAGAATGGAATTACTGGTTTAGAAGACAAAGCTAAAGGTAACATCTCCAGCTCTAGCTCATGTTTTGAAAACCAGAATTCTTTGGAAATTAATGGGAAACCAAAATACTGGAATCTGCCCTTCAGATGTTTGCAGAGGACTTTGAAGTGGTCTCAAACAACTGACAAGTGAAGATCACGTCGAGTTAATAAAACATCAATGCAGAAGTAGGTCTCAAGGACAGTTTGCATTTATTTGCTGATGACTCTGACTAAACATACTTCAAACATAGCAGAAGTTAAAGAGTCTGTGAGGTGAAGTCATTTCTTAACAATAGCTAAAAGTGTTCCATGGACAGTGATGTGAGCATCATCTCAAGCTGACACCCTGGCACCGGGCAAACAGCTGGTGGGTGGATCTGGTCCATCTGGCCTTGATGGGAGCCTCTGAAGAATTAATTCTCATACTTATGCTTGATGTGTTTCCACAGCTTCTGCATTTTAAAGACAAGAGACACAAACTTTTAGTTTCACCTCTTACATTTACAACTCCCACTGTGCTGGTCGCTAAAACAAGCTTGAGAGAAACTCTTACCACATCCTAACAGTTGTGGTGGGCAAGTTGGAAGCAACATCAGGCTTCCTGCACATTCTTGTTTATAAAATGTTGAGCCCTGGACAGTGTGGCTCAGTTGGTTGGAGCATCATTTCATACACAGAAAGGTCTCAGTTTCAATCCCCAGTTGGGGGGTGTACGGGAGGCAACAAATTGATGTTTCTCTCCCCTACTCCCTTCTCTCTAAAAATCAATAAATAGCCCTGGCCGGTTTGGCTCAGCGGTTAGAGCGTTGGCCTGCGGTCTGGAGAGACCCGGGTTCGGTTCCCGCTAAGGGCATGTACCTCGGATGCAGTTTGCCCCCGGCCCTGGTTGGGTCGTGTGGGTGGCAGCCACTAGATGTGTCCCTTTCGCGTCGATGTTTCTTTCTCTTTCTCTCTCTCTCTTTCTTTCCCTCCCACTCTAACTGAACAAAATATTGAAAAATGTCCTTGGGTGAGGATAAAAAAAAAAATCAATAAATATGTCCTCAGGTGAGGAAAAAAAAAAAAAATTAAAGTCAATAAAAACATATCAACTGAAGATTAAAAAAAAAAAATGCTTTAATGCTCTCAACCACCATGTGAAATAAGTGGGAAGAAATGATATTACTTTTACAGGAAACAGGTACAGAGATTGAGGGATTTGCCCAAAAGCACACAATTATTAAGAACAGAGCCTGGAAGATGGCTCATTTCTTCAATTCCAGGTATTACTTTTGAGGTTCTAAATATGGAGTCCCAAAATACTTCACATTGAACCATTCTTAATTTCCTCAGACCTATGACCCTGGGTCAGGAACTAACTGGATTCTCATTCCTAAAACACAGAAGTTATGATAACATACCTAGATTCCTAAAACAGAAGTTATGATAACATACCTAGATGCCTTTCCTAAACAGTGGGGATGGCTAACTGCTTACAGGAGATGAAACTGTGGTAGCAGTTTCATAGGTGCAGAAAGTTGCCCTGGCCACAGGCAACACTGCATTAGTGAACAGAGCCTGCCTGGGCTATAGAGTCAGACAGCTATGAATTTAAAACAAGAGTGAATGGTGGAACAGAGTTATCTGCACAAGACCTTCCGTAGTATGAGACAATTTAATGATATAAAGCATGCACAGCACCTAGCACAGGGCCTGCCACACAATGAATCTAAAAGATGTTATTCCCTACCTTAAGCTTCCACTTTCTCCTGTGGAATGTAACAAATGTTCATTTCTTTTCTTTTTTTAAACCCTCACTCAAGGACATGTTTATATTGATTTTTGAGAGAGAGGAAGGGAGAGGGAGAGAAACATCAATGTGAGAAACATGGACCGGTTGCCTCCCACAGGCAACCAGGGATGGAACACCCAAACTGGTTATATAAATGTTATTTTCTGAGTGGTACCACCTAGCAGGCACTTTGCCTATATTTCAAGTAATACTCACAATAATTCCGATGTAGTTACTATATCATTTCTATTTCACAGATAAAAGTGAAGCTTAGAGATGAAACTTGCCCAACTTAATGTCACAGCTATTAAGTAACAAGGCCCAGTGCTCCCATCCAGGGCTCTCTGATTTCACAGCCCGCACTCTTCTTAACCATTATTAATACCACGCTGCTTGCGTGGAAAGCCTTGATAACCGAAAGCGCTATCTGAAAAGGCAGCCACAATGTCTAAGATGTCCTTTTCGCGATCTTCGACCGCTCAGGCCTGCCCTTGAAACCCTCTGAGTCAGGGGGTCCAGGTTCCAGCCCTGACTTGCCACTAACTTCTGGTTGTGCAGCCCTAGTAAGTGCTTTGCTCTTCCTAGGCTTTAGTTTTTGCTTCTATCATATTTAAAACCCCTGCAAAGTGGGATCTATTGACCTCGTTTAAAGTTTTAGGATTCACACCAGGAGGAAAGGACAGATGGGAATCTACAGACAGAAGACGCCCAGGGTTTACCCCTCTTCCTCGTACAAGAATAAGTCCCACCCCACCTCCCTTCCCATTGTCACCCCTCAGGTGGGCCCAAGGTCAGGGATGGCCTAGGCCCTCACCCCCTGGTTGATGTTTTCGTAGATTGCGTCCGCGCCTTGGTCGAAGGCGCGTTCGAAGAACAGGGCACCCACGGCGATGGTAAGAGCGAAGGTGGAGGTTCTGCGGAATAGCAGGGAGTACAACCTCGCAGTTATCGTCGGAGCCGCCATGTTTCTCCACTGCCAAGACGCGACACCGCGTCTGCGCCGCGGCTGACCTTGCTCTCCAAAGGTCTTCAACGCGCAATACTTTATGGGATATGTAGTCTCTCTGAATCTCAGTGCTCGTTTTGAATCCCGGAGGTAACTGATGACTTACACGGGAAAAATGTCTCATAAGACTCAGATCAAGACAGCCCAGATTGTTTGGTAATATTTATTATACAATTTTACTCAATCATTTCTTGTTGATTGAATATTTCGAACTACAAAACCCAGAAGCCCTCGCGCTCCCTCCACCTCCCCTCTTGGTGTCTCAGCTTTAATTCCCAAAGGTTTCTGGGAAGGGAGACCTGATACCCAAGGAAGGACTACGTATCCCAGCAAGCAGTTCGCGACGCAAGGGCACAGGAGGAGGAGCCCAAAGCCCTCGCCCCGGCGGAGCCAGGTACCTGTTTGGCGGGACTTGGAGGGTCTAGTTTTAGTCTCCTTCCCCTCATGGGAAGACTTGGGCTCTTCTTTCTAAATCGGAGCTCCTCACGGTGGGCCGCACCATTTAACGGGATGGGGAGTGGATAGAGGGGAAAGGGCGGTTCTCGTGCTTCCTGTTTCCCTCATCTCTGGGCTTCATAGCCGAGAACCCTGGCCTGCAAGGCAGGAGAATTGACATCATCATTCCCACAAAAGCTTTGGAGTACTAGGGCCGTCAACAAATGTTTTATTTACTTATTTATTTATCTTCACACGAGAATTTTTAAAAAATTGGTTTTTAGAGAGAGAGAGAAACATCGATCGGTTGCCTTCCGTAGGTGCCCCGACGGGGGGTCGAACCCACAATCTAGGAATGTACCCCAACTGGGAATCGATCTTGCAGCCTTTTGATGTATAGGATGATGGCTCTAAGTAACTGAGCCACCGGGCCAGGGCAGCAAATGTTTTATGAGTGCCTTCTCTGAGCCAAGCACTGGGGACTCAGCAGTGAACAAGTCCCTGTTCTTGGAGCACTCATTCTGCTGTATGTGGATGGATGGGGAGGTGCAGCAAAGACAAACAAGTCATGCTTTGAAGAGCAGAAGACAGGTTGATTAGGGAGGGGGTGATGTGCTATTTTAACCAGGGTGCCCAGTGTGACCCTTAACCAGAGACCTGAATGAATAGTAGTAGGTCAAATAGGGGAAACGTTGCTGCAAAGGCCTTGAGGCTGCTGCAGTTCTGGGGTGTTTGAAGGAAAGAAGTAGAGTGGACTCTGAAAAGGTGGGCTCAGGTCAGCTCATATATGGCCTTGTAACCTATGATTAGGAGCCTTATTTTTTCTAATTGCACTAGGAAGCCACTTAAGGGTTTTAGACTGGGTTGTGACATTTTAATTTACATTTTTTAAAAATATGTTTTTATTGATTTTTTTTTTAGAGAGAGAGGAAGGGAGAGGGAGACAGAAACATCAATGTGAGGGAGATACATCTATGAGAGAGAGACACTGATCTGCTGCTTCTTGCGTGCCCCATACTGGGGATTGAGCCTGCAACCTGGGCATGTGCCCTAAACGTAATTGAACCAGGACCTCTCAGTCCATGGGAGGATGCTCAATCCACTGAGCCACACCAGCCCGACTAATTTACATTGTTTTTATCCTCACTGGAGGATATTTTTGCAGTTATCTTCAGATAGAGCGGGAGGAAGAGAGAAACATCGATGTGAGAGAGACACATTGAGTGGCCGCCACCCACACGACTCCAACCAGGGCCAGGGACAAACTGCAACCGAGGTACATGCCCTTTGCGGGAACCGAACCCAGGACTCTCTGGTCAGTGGGCCGATTCTCTAACTGCTGAGCCAAACAGACTAGGGCCTAATTTACATTTTAATGTCCTCATTGTAGCTGCTCTCTGGCCATGTTAAGTTTGAGCTGCCTCTTAGACATCAAGTGGAGATGTTTGTAGGCAAATGGGGATTTGGATCTGGAGTTCAGAAGAGAGGTTTTGGCCAGAGATAAAAGCCTTTGGCATAGGTGTGGCATTGAAAACCAGGCACTGGTCCGGCTGGCGTGGCTCAGTGGTTGAGCATCAAAAGGTCGCTGGTTCAATTCCTGGTCAGGGCACATGTTAAGGTTGTGGGCTAGATCCCCAGTGTGGGCCATGCAGGAGGCAGCCAGTTGATGTTCTCTCTCATCAATATTTCTGTCTCTCTCTCCCTCTCCCTTCCTCTCTTTCTAAAATCAATAAAGAAAAAAAGAAAACCAGGGACTGGATTCATGGCCTCAATCTGCCTCTGATTTGTAAAGCTAGCAGTAATGCCTGGGAGGAAAAATGTAAAATGCTCTACATCGTTATCCTCACTACGGTTATTTTCTATTTGCAAAGCGTCCTAGTAGCCCCTTGGGATAGGAAGTTGTGAAGCTTCTGGGAAAGAATACTTATGTGTTGCTAACAACACATCTGGCTGATGTGAAGTTCAGAGGAGGAAGGAATTATTTTAGGTGGGATGGATGGGGAAGACCACAGAGCAGTTATGTTGTGGCTTGTTTTATTTTTTGTCTTTTTAGTTAATTCCCTTTGGGGCAACAATTTTTAAAAACCTAATTTTTGTAAGCCATCAAAGTCAACTTAGAAATGATTGTTCTATACATAAACCTAGATAATAAGAAAAACGACCATAACTTTTCCTTTGAGTAATGTTGAACAAACTAAATTCCTTTAAGCATTCAACCCTATTAACAGCCTAATTGCATTCCCTAACACATTTAATTCCACTTATAAATTTAATATATTTGATTTTCTTTTTTAAGTATTTCAGATGCATAATCCAACAAGTATAATTTCCTTAGAATACTTAAACAGTTACTAGGGAAAACCTAATAAATTAAAACTATAAACAATCGATTTTATTTTTATTTTTTTGTTAATTCTTACCCAAGGATATTTTTTCCATTGATTTTTAGAGGGTGCAGAAAGGAGGGAGGCAGGGAAAGAGAGAGAGAGAAATGTCAGTGTGAGAGAGACACATAGATTGGTTGCCTCCGGTGGGGAATCAAACCTAAGAATGGTGCACAGACTGACTTTCTATCCACTGAGCACTGGCAGGGGGGCATAAACAACGAATTTTAAGTTCTTGTAAACAGTTCAGTATTTTTTTTTTTTTACCCCTCACCTGAGAACATTTTTGCATTTATCTTCAGATGGAGCAGAAGGAAGGGGGGAAGAGAGAGAGAAACATTGATGTGAGAGAGACATGTTGACTGGTTGCCACCCACACGACCCCAACCGGGCTGGGGACAATCTGCAACCGAGGTACATGCCCTTAGTGGGAACCGAACCTGGGACTCTCTGGTCTGCGGGCTGATGCTCTAACTGCGGAACCAAACCAGCCAGGGCAACAGTTCAGTACTTTTAATGGACAAATTCTCTTATGTAACTGGTTCTCAGTCTGGTGAGCTAAAAGAAATACATCTCTGATATGAAATTAGGATATGGGGGGCACCTTTAGTATTGTTTATAGCACCAGGTGTTCTTGATATGTAGCCATTGTTTCCAGCCATTGCTAACTTCTCAACTTAAAACCACAAGTCTAATATCAATTACTAACATATATTTTATCAATTACCTAACTATATACTTTAACTTTTATATTTTAAATTGGAATCACATTGCTTATCTGTCATTTACTCAACATGTCAAATTATTTTCAATGTTACTGATACTTTTTTTTTTTTTCCTCACCCGAGGATATCTTTCCATTTTTTGTACAGATAGAGTGGGAGGGAGAGAGAGGAAGGGAGAGAGAGAGAAACATCGACGCGAAGGGACACATCGAGTGGCTGCCACCCGCACGACCAACCAGGGCCGGGGACAAACTGCAACCAAAGTACGTGCCCTCAGCGGGAACCGAACCCGGGTCTCTCCGGACCGCAGGCCGACGCTCTAACCGCTGAGCCAAACTGGCCAGGGCTGTTACTGATACTTTTAAATACCAAGTATACACTGATTATTTCAAATTCAGGACAGGTTGTGAGTACATGAAACAGTTGTTTCTTATATTATTATTTATTAATTATTGTATTATTTTCCATACGAACAACTTAAACCTACTTTTGGCCCACGCTGTACAGTGAGTTTGATGTATTATACTCCCTCTGTTTTCAATTCTAAATTTTCTTGGGAGTGTGACAGGACACAGAGCCAGTAAGAAAACAGTTTTATTCACTCTAATGAATTGTGTTTAGCATGCCAATCAAGTTGGGGTTACCATTTCAGCAAGCTGACTGATTTGTGACTGGAACACAATTGGGCTATGTCTACCCAGAGTTACTGTCCCTAGCAGAGGCTGCCTGTGGATGCAGGGAATAGAGAGGTCGATGAGCAGAAGCTCATTCCCCTAGGCTTTTGTTTCTTAGCGGATGCCTACTGGGGGATGCTAGACTCACTGGTTAAAATGCAGATTTCTGGACCCCCCTCCAGATCTGTTGGGTCAGAATGCTGGAGCTCTGACCCAGGAGACTTCATTTTTAATAAGCTCTGCACAGGCAGCCATGGAAAATTTTGAGCAGGAGTCATTTTAAGAGGATTGATCTGATGCTGCCAGGGTGAGTAAACTGGGGAGGCTGGTCCAGGTTCGAGAAGGTGAGACCTGACTTGGGCAGCAGTGACGGTAATACCAGAGGGTCAGATGGTATTGGAAGCCCAGACTGTGGGGAGGAGCAGGGAGAGGCACAGGTGGTTCTGAGTCTGGGTATCTGGTTCAGGAGCCTCCTTCAGACTATTTTTACCTTCCTATTTGGAAATTCAAGCCTCCTGGGACCTGTAACTATCTGATGAGAAACTGTGTCTCCAGCCTGCAGCTCCCTGGAGCCCAATTCGGGTTCCACCGACCTTTGCTGGGCTGGGTCTGCTTAGAATCAGGGCGTACCCTATGAGCCTTCAGCCAGGGCCTGAGGGAAATGTCTGCCTTCTATCCCTTTCAAGGTTCATCCTGGTAAACCAGGTCACTGGAACCATTCACGGTATCTCCTAAGGAAGAAGGAATAGGATTTATCCCTGCCTGACAAATTTCCCACTTTTTAAGGAAATTTGGGGGAAGAATTTAAAAACAATACATGCGAAATATTGAAACTTAGAAAATAGAAAAACACTACAGTAAATGAAAAAACAAATCCTGCACAGAATTCTAGTATCCAGACATAACCACAGTAAATATTTTGTGTCTTCTGTAGTCTTTGTGTGTATGTGTGTATTGGGGTGGGAGGTTCTTTTTCCTTAAAAAAGTGCTATTATAGAATATATACTTTTGTGATAACAAGTCATTTTTATTTGGCAATATAGAACATTTGGCAATATAGAACAATATGAACATTTGTCCATATGAAGGAATCATTTTCGTTGTCTTGATGTGTAATGGCTGTGCAGTGCTCCATTAACCAGATATGGCCCACGCCTTACTCTTGCTTCTGGCCAG